GTCTCATGTATCTACTTGAGCTAAGAAGCACACTCTTCACGAGTATCATTTTATGTCCCATAGTCCAGTCTAATCTTTGTCTGAAGAGTTGGCCTTGGGAATGGTTTTAGTTCTGGGTTGACAGAAAGTCTGAGGGCCATGCTTTCTGGGGTTCCTCCAATCTCAGCCAGACCATTAAGTCTGGTTTTTTACTAGAATTTGAGTTCTGCACCCTACTTTTCTCCTGCTCCATCAGGGACTCTCTGTTGTGTACACACAGTTTTAATGTGTATTTTGACTAAATTTGTAGAGATACAGCTGCTTGATATAGAACCTAGTCTCATTATGACCTGTGAAACCACTTGAGTGTACATAGCTACTGAAATCAAGTGTTTCTCTTTATTTCAGGTTCTTCAATGGCGAGCCCACCAGGAAGAGGTAGCAAGACTAGAAATGGATATTGTTGTCAGAAGAAGAGAAAAGGAAAAGGAGAAAGAGAAACTGTGGAAGAAGAAGGAATTATTGCAAAGAGAGGAGAAGAAAGAAAAAGTATAAAATTTGCTTTTGATATGAATGAATGTTTAATGGATTGATTGAATTTTGATTGATCTTGATGTTTGGCACAAATTCTCATAGTCAGTTCTTAGAAAGATTCACAGGGATAGTGGAGTTTGCTTTAGTTTATTTGAGGTCAAAAGATTTGTGAACATGGAGGAGAACCCACTTTGTTGACCTGTACAAGTCCAGATACTTGTGATTAGAAGAGATGAAGTAGGTAAAAAGGGCAGGGTTTTTGACTGTTGTTAAGTCTTGTACTAAGCAGGAACATGGCAAAGACCAAAGGGTACTGGGATAACATTTTAGTTGATAGCAGTGCAGCAAATGATTGTCAAAAGATGTCCTTCTGGCAACATACATTGTACTAGGGCAAGTGCACTTCATGGAACACCAAAAGGCTCTTTAGAAAATTCCCTTGATTTAATGTTTGTTAGATTGTCTTACTTTTCATTTACTGATATGAATTCATCATTCCACTTTTGAGCAAATATTTGGTTGTCAGCCTCCAAAATATTCATGAAAACATTTACTAACAGCTTTAAAAATGATTGTTGATAACCTGTGGAAGACAGAACACATTTGAGGGGAGATTTATATATATTAAATTAAGCCATCTCCTATTGCTAGGCATTTAGACTCTTTCTAATTTTTCTGTTTTAAACATGTATATTATTCACGATATATAGTATTTATCATATAATATATGGTATATATATTATTTACGATATATGGTATTTGTTTAGGCATTTTTGTTTGTTTCCATAACAAAAATTATACAATTTGCTGTAAAAATATTTTTGTTAAATATTTTGTGTGATTTTTAAAATCTATTTTTTATGGAATTGCTGCCTTCTGTGGAAATAATTCCCAAAAAGGCAATTTATGATCAACCTCATAATACAATGAAAGAAACTCCCATTAACCTATACACCTGTATTTGATCTGTGTGATATAAAAAAATGTTTTGTTTTGAAAAGCTGCTTAAAATGCTAAGGATAACAAATTAATTCACAGTCCTTGGTAGACAAATTTTTCATTTTTGTGAGCATGATTGACACTTTGGATTATCTCACTAAGCAGGTCTATGCAGCCCTTGTCTAGAAGTTGTACTTTAAAAGAGAAAATGTAGGGGAAAAAGACACCATGGATTTTCTAGCTATAAGCCAATTTTCTGCATTTTATTATACCTCACTTGTCATAGTTCTTGATTTGTTTTGTGCTTTTTAATCAGCAAATTGGTATAGAGGCAGTATATGGAAAACAACATACATAGAAGTTATATGATCATTTGACAAAGTCAGGTGCTGAGAAGATATAATTCACAAATTTTATATTTTTTAATCAAGAAGGGATTCAGTTTCCACTTCTAAGGGAATAAGTTGGGTGGTTTCATTAAGACTCTATCAAGAGAGTTGACGGTTAAAACGAATAATTGAACATACCTCAGAAACTCGTAAATATATATCATTTTTCAAATAATGTAAGTGAACTATATATTTCTGGGTGGAACTTACCAATTATTTACTGTTATTAAAGTACAGTGTTGGAAAAGCATATTCCTATAGTTTCATCATCTACTTGGGCCCCCTCATGGCATTACCTTTCTATAAGCTAATACCCATGAAGAGTATTTTATTTTTAAGCATTTATTTACATGTGGTATTCTTAAATGCCCTATAAAGAAATTTAGATGCAGTTCCACTTTCTGAGTGTTTACTAAGAAAATGAAAAAATATACAAAATAAATAACTCAAGTATTGAGAATGGGAGTAAATACATTTAATTATGAACACTAAATTTGGAATTGGCATGGTTAGATAGGAGAGGACTGAGGGGCATTGCTAGCTTTTTTTGGCAGTCTGAAAGATTTCCAGAAGTGAGGAAAAGGCATTTTGAAAGATAGTGATCTCTTGAGCTTGCCAACGGAAGTGACCTTTGGCTTCATAAACACCTCAAAAGAACCTAGGAGAGTAATGGAGGGATAATTAGGCAATTATAACAGCAAAGATGATCAAAGGGCTAACCCAAGTGCAGCTTAAAACAAGAAGGCACTTAACACCTGAAATAATGAAGGCTGGAAAATTTTTCAACATAACTAATTATATGGGGAAATTGAACTTAAATATGTTGTCGTTAGTTGCTGTCGAGTCTATTCCAGCTCATGTGTGGAGTCGAACTGCTCCATAGGGTTTTCAATGCTGTGACCTTTAGAAGCAGATAGCCAGGTCTGTCTTCTGAGGTGCTCTCCACATTTTAGAATGCAAGATTGGAACTATACCTATGAGTACTAAAGAAGTAAATTTAGAAAGATATCAAAAACTGCATACCTAACGTGTTTTTTTGGCCGAGTTACATTTTACTAAGCTGTATGTAGGCATTACTTCACGGTCCAGCACTTACAATGAGCGACATGGTAAGAAATGCCCTATTAAATGTGTTGTTTTATTTATATAGAGTATAGAGGGCATTACACTGTTTTGGAAAGCTCTAAGTCAAATTCATGACCAATCGCTAGCAATTGTATAGGACTAAGACATATGATTTATTTTATTTAAAAAACAACTTTAAGAATATTTTTAAAAAATATAAAGATTGATGTAATAAACACATTAGAACCCATCACCCAGCATTGAAAATCTTAATCTTTTTCACTTTTAAATTTAAATGAAGTAGAATATTACAGATAAAATTGAGGTCCTCTTTTGATGCTTTTCCCAGTACCATTTCCTTTATTTCTTCCCTACAAGTAGTCCTAATCATGAATTTTGTTTCTATCCTTCCAGGACTTCTGATATTGATTTTAATATGTGGTGTGTGGTTTTAAATTTTTTCATGAATACTATCATAATGTATCATTTTGCAACGTGTACTTTTTCATTCAAGCTTATGTTTTGGAGATATACCCATGTTAATACATTTAGACCTAGTTCACTCCTTTTAACTGCTATATAGTATTCCAATGTAGAAATAGACTACCATTCACTTTATCCATTTTCTTAGTGGTTGACATATGAGTTTCCAAAGTTTTCCTCTTGCAAATGATGCTGCAGCAGCCCCTGTACATGCCTCCTGGTGTGTGTGTGCAGGGCTTTCTCTAGGGTGCACCTAGAAGGGAAATTGCTGGGTTTTCATACTTCCAAATTTTTAAAATATTTTTGGTTTTATAAGATATTACAACTTTGCTTTTTGGTTTTTCTCAATCTGATGAATATGAGAAGCGTATCATTAATGTCTTAATTTGTATTCCCCTGATTACTTGTGAGACTGAAATCTTTTCATGCATACTGGATTGTTTTGTTCCTCAGCGAATTGCTTGTTCACACTTTTTGTCCATTTTTCTATTTTTTAATTAATTTGTAGAAGTTCTTTATAAATTTTAGATACTGTTTCTTTTTGTCAGTTATATGGGTTGCAAATATTTTCTTCCAGCTGGTCATTTTCCTTTTAATTTTGCTTGTTGTGTCTTTAGTTTCACAGAAGTTAAGTTTTTCAAGTAGTCAAACATTAATTTTTTTTCCTCTATGAATTTTGCCTCATATGTATCAATTAAGAAAACATTTACTACTCTGAGGTCATAAAGTATTCTCATATATTTGGGAAAGTGCAGTAGCTATCAGAATATAGAGGCAGTATTCAAAATACTTGGAGCAGGCATGAATGAGAGATATTCATTATAGCTTTATCTCATTTTCCTTGTTATTGATATATTGAATTTTAATTCCATGTTGTTTCTAACTCCTTCCTCAATTTTGATTATTTATTTTAAATGCCTATTTGTATTTACCATCATGCTAACAAGTTCTTTTATTCAATATTGCTTCTTGTACCATCTTTCCTTGTAGATTCAGTTTCCATATTAGAAAAACATGATTTAGCAGTTCCTTCAGATATGGTCAGTAAATTGTAAAACTCTCTTAGTCTTTGTATATCAGAAAATGTCTTTATTGCGTTTTTACTATTAGATGATTAATTACTTGTGCATCCAATTCCAGGCTGATTTTTTTTTCCTTGAGGTAAAATTCACATAACATAAAATTAACCATTTTAAATTGAGCAATTCAATGATATTTAGTGTATTCACAGTCCTGTTGCAACCACCACCTCTATCTAGTTTCAAAACATTTTCATCACCCCAAAGTAAAACTCCTACCCATCAAGCAGTCGATCCCAATTCTACCCTTTCCCCAGCCCTGGAAACCACCAATCCACTTTCTGTGTCTATGGATTTACCTATTCTATATATTTCATATAAACGAAATTGTGTATGACCTTTTCACTCTAGTTTCCTTCAGTTAGCATAATATTTTGAGATTCATCCATGTTGTAGCATGTATCAGTATTTTATTATTTTTTATGGTTGAATAAGATTCCGTTGTATGTATATACCATAACTTGTTCAACCATTTATCCACTGATGAACGTGTGGGTTGTTTCCACCTTTTGGCTACTGTAAATAGTGCTGCTTTGAACATTGTGTACAAATATTTGTTTGAGTACCTGTTTTCAGTTATTTTGGGTATATACCTAGATTTGAAATATTTTAACTAGACAGTAATTCTATGCTTAACTTTTTGAGAAACCACTAAGCTGTTTTCCATAGCAGCTATACTATTCCCACAACAATGTATGAGTGTTCCCATTCCTCCACATCCTTGCCAACACTTATAAGTTTCCTAGTTTTTGTTTTGTTTTGTGAATCTAGCCATCCTAGTGTGTATGAAGTCATATCTCATTTGGGGTTTAATTTGCTTTTCCCTAATGACTAATGATATTGAGCATATTTTTATGTGCTTGTTGGTAATTTGTATATCTTCTTTGGAGAAATGTCTATTCAAGTCTTCTGCCCATTTTTAAATTGGGTCTTTGTCTTTATGTTTTTGAGTTGTAAGAGTTCTTTACCCTTATCAGATATAAAATTTGCAAACATTATCTTCCATTCTCTAGGTTGTCTTTTTACTTTCTTGATAAAATTCTTTGATGCACAAAGTTTT